TGAGGGAGGAGGCTGGGGGCCTGGGCTCCTGGGTCTGAGGGAGGAGGGGCTGGGGGCCTGGGCTCCCGGGTCTGAGGGAGGAGGGGCTGGGGGCCTGGGCTCCTGGGTCTGAGGGAGGAGGGCTGGGGGCCTGGACTCCTGGGTCTGAGGGAGGAGGGCTGGGGGCCTGGATTGAGGCCCTGACTGCCCCCTGTGCCTGCAGGGCGTGACTCTGACAGACCTGAAGGAAGCAGAGAAGGTGGCAGGGAAGGCTCCAGAGCCGGAGAAGTCATGCACACAGAGCCTGGTGAGAGGCTGCAGGGTCTGTGACCGGGCTCGGGTGGTACAAGCCGCCCTCGTCCTCTGACCCCCGCCCCTCTCCCACAGGACCCTTCCTGGCAGCCCCGAGTCCCTGGGGTTGAGAATTCTGATGGCCCTGCCCAGAGAGGTGAGGTCTGGTCTCTGGGAGGTCATCTGAGCCCGCCCCATCCCTTCCGCTGCGGTCTGCCCGTCTTCCTGGAGTCTGAGCCCTGGGACCCTGACACTCAGGGAGGGAGTCCTGATTCTTGCCCCTCCCCCAGTAGAGGCGCCTGACGGGCAGGGACAGGGACCACAGGCCTCCAGGGAGCACCGCAGAGTTGGCAAGGAGAGGAGAGGGCCTGCGGAGGTGAGGGTGGGTGGACCTTGGCAGGGGTGGGGATGGGGGAGCCGGGCCACACCTCCCTTTGGGCATCCCACTGAACCCCGCCCCGCCCACAGGGGGAGGAGGCCAAGCCCGCGGACATCAGCCCAGAATCCAGGTACAGGGCGGGCAGGGCGGGGTCTGGGCAGTGCGGGGCCCGTGCACCCCTGACGCCGTGCTTTGCCCCCACCCCAGCACCCCCAAGGCCAGCCCTTCCCCCCGGAGGCCGCGCGCCCCCAACCCGGAACCCAAGCCTGAATCGGAGCCGGATGGCGGCAGCTTCAGGAAGGTTGGAGAGCCCCACAGTCTGCCTTACGCACCTGCCCTCTGCCTGTCCGGGAGCCCCGCCTGACCCCTGTCCCCCTCCCCGTACCCCCAGCTCTACGCAGAGCTGCGCGTTGAGAACGAGAGACTTCGTGAGGCCCTGACGGAGACCACGCTGCGGCTGGCGCAGCTCAAGGTGGAGCTGGAGCGCGCCACGCAGGTGAGGGGCACGGGCCCTGCAGGTGACCCTGGCATCGCTGTGCAGGCGCTCAGGGCCTGGGAGTCCAGGAGCTGGAGCAGTGAGGGGTGGGGTCTGAGCGGAACTCTGACTTCAGGGGGTGGGCCCTGCGCCAGGGGGTGGGGCTATGGTCCTGGAGGCGGGGCTTGCGATGAGCCCAGGACTCAGCCAGAATCCTGCCTGGCCTGCCTTCCCTCTCTCCGCTGGTTCCCGGTCCCGGGCATGGCATTTTGGATGTTGCTCTGACCCCTGCGCGTTCTCTGTCCCCACCAGAGGCAGGAGCGCTTTGCAGAGAGGCCGGCCCTCCTGGAGCTGGAGAGATTCGTGAGTGGGGCAGCTGGGGTGGGGTCAGGCCCACCCTCTGGAGGTCTGCGTGGAGGGGACACAGCGACCCCCTAACCTGGCCCGTGGACCTTTCCCCACCATCCTCCGCCTCCCTCTGGCCCTCCCCAGCCCCCAGTCCCTGCCCTCACCTCCCCTGTGTATTTCAGCTGGCGCAGCTCAAGGTGGAGCCGGAGCACACCACGCAGAGGCAGGAGCGCTTTGCAGAGAGGCCAGCCCTCCTGGACCTGGAGAGATTTGAGCGGAGGGCCCTGGAGCGCAAGGCCGCTGAGCTGGAAGAGGAGCTGAAGGGCCTGTCCAACCTCCGGGCTGACAACCAGCGCCTCAAGGATGAGAACGCGGCCCTGATCCGCGTCATCAGCAAACTGTCCAAGTGACCCCGGAGGACTTGCCCCGCACCCGCATTTATACAGCTGCTTCTGCCACACGCACCCCTCCCCCTGTGTGAACACGAGTGACAGGGCTGCCGGGGAGCCTCTGTGAAGCCATAACCTCCCCTCGGGACCTCCAGGCTGGGAGGGGAGGACAGAGCCCCCAGGAGCCAAGGGGGCCCTCTGAGGCCAGGATGGAGCCGGGAGCTGAGCCAGGTAGGGGACCAGGGCTGCAGGCAGGACCAGGAAGGAACCGAGGACCAGGAAGTGCCAGGACCAGTAGCCAGGACCAGAGCGGCCACCCGGAGGTCCCCTCTCACGTGTGCTGCCACAGTCACCCCTCCCACCTCCCTCTGGCCCTCCCCAGCCCCCAGTCCCTGCCCTCACCTCCCCTGTGTATTTCAGGAGCGCAGGGCCCTGGAGCACAAGGCCGCTGAGCTGGAAGAGGAGCTGAAGGTGAATGCTCATGGGGCGCGGGGGGCCATGGCTCGCCACCGGGGCCTCCAGCTGACCCGTCCCATCCCACAGGGCCTGTCCAACCTCCGGGCTGACAACCAGCGCCTCAAGGATGAGAACGCGGCCCTGATCCGCGTCATCAGCAAACTGTCCACGT